AGTATGATTGGCACAGGACAGAGCAGAGTTTAGGGCTGTTGTACATAGGGTCGCTATGATTTGCAAGCGACTCAGCAGCACATAACAACAACAATGTCTTTGCACCTTTCTTGCAATTTGTTTTCTAATGCCATTCTAGTGTTAAATGTGAGGCCTTCCAATTTTAATCTGCCTGTTCATTTTTTTCTCATTTTAAATATTTTTGATCTTCACAGGCTTAGAGTATGAGTCATTAGCTGAAATATATTTCATTTGAAAGTTATAACATCTAGGTCTATTTAAAACATTCCTAGAACAGAATACTACAATATAGCATTGCTTGACCCTGGTCAAACAACTTTGGATCTCTGTCTGAATGTTTTATTTGTGAATTGAAGAGCTCAGAAAATGTCATTTTGGGGGAGCTCTGGTGGCCTAGTGGCAAGGAGCTGCAACTACAATCCCAGAGGCAAATGGTTCGAATCTACCAGATGCTTTGCCGGGGAAGGAGGGACAATCTCCTCCTGTACCAGTCAGATCTGATTTGACGGTACATGCACACAAAAATAATAAAAAATTAAATTTTTTTTTTAAAAAAAAGAATAGAAAATGTCATTTTGGAGGTACCTCTGAGAACTAACCTTCTGTCTTCCTCCATATCATGCAAACAACATGGAAAGAACGACTCTGCACACCTACCTTTGGATGGCGGCAGGCGTGGATCTGCGTGCCCCGGTCTGTTGTTAGATGCTGGAGAATGTCGGGCATATTTCTAAACATGTCCAGTTTATCCACATGAATCTATCAGATGAATAACATTTACAGACAAATTATGTGAAATTAATTTCCTATAAAGAGACTGTTCAAAGGTCTGTTCATGCAATTAATGAGATAATTCATTATTTTTATGTGAAATCTAGTTTTAGCTATTTTAAGACACATTCAGTATTTGGCCAGGATATCAAGTGGGCAAAGAGCCAAAAACTGTGGTATATTCAGTCAGGTCAATCACCTATTTTAAGTGGTAATAAAAAAATTGCAGACTCGCCACAACAAGATAAACTCAACTGCAAAATGGGCACAGGACATAAACAGACACTTCACCAAAGAAGACATTCAAATGGCGAACAAACACATGAAGAAATGTTCAAAATCCCTACCTATAAGAGAGATGCAAATCAAAACAACTATGCGATATCACCTCATCACACTAACAACAGCAAATTCAACATAGCAGCAAACAACAAATGCCGATGAGGTTGTGGAGAAACTGGAACCCTTATTCATTGCAGGTGGGAGCGTAAAATGGTGCAACCACTATGGAAGGCTGTATGGCGCTTTCTCAAAAAGCTGGAAATAGACATATCATTTGACCCAGCAATTCCATTACTAGAATGAAGACCCATGTTTACTGCTGCTTTGTTCACAATAGCAAAAAGTTGGAAACAACCCAAGTGCCCATCAACAAATGAATAGAGAAATTGTGGTATAGTCACAAAGTGGAATATTATGCAACACTAAAAAAGAAAGAACTAATGAAATAGTATACAAAATGGGTGATCATAGAAAACATTCTGCTAAGTGAAATATCTCAGTAATAAAAAGACAAATTCTGCATAATGTCACTGTTATAACATGGGATTAACATGGGGTTTGGGGGGAAACTAAGAAAAGAAGGGATAAATAATATACATGGCATTGAAACAGATAAGGGAGAGAACTGTATAAAAGGAACGTATGATTAGGCATTATTGGCAGGACAAAAATCCAGAATAAGAGCTACATACAGTAAATTAGTCTAGGGCGGGGAGCACTGTATAACAATGAAAGAACTTTTTTCCAAAGGAAAAAAGCTAACTGGGGAGGGGGGGCGGGCAGGGAGAAAAGTGCAACAATGAATGACTGGAAACCCTAAATCTCTGTAAATTTTCATTAAAATTAATTTTTTAAAAAGGGAATGGGGGCGGGGTAGGGAGGAAATTGTGCAACAATGAACGAATGGAAATTCAAGTTCTTTATAAACTTTTATTAAAATCTCAATAAAAAAAGAATGAGAAATGCAAAAATCCTAAATAAAATACTGG